TCGCTGAAGCCACGCCGCGCGAAGTAATCCTCGTCGAGGTCCGTCAGCAGCACGCGCACCTGCCATGGTTGCGAGAATGCCGAACATGGCCGCGCACTGTGTGTGCAGGGCGCTGAGAGGGTGAGGGTTGGTGGGAAGGGAGAAAGAAGGCTATGAGTGGGTGTGTGGGAGGTCAAGAAGGACGGGGGTGTGGGTTGAGAGTGCGGCACAACGTGCGCACCACCAGAAGCCCGCGTTCATAATCAGGCCCAAGCGCGTTTGCCCCAGACGGCGGCACCATAGGCGGCGGCGGCGACGGCACGTTCGGGTCCACGCAGTAGGCATCCTTCGACGCACGGTACACGAAGACCGAGCCGTCGCCGTTGGTGTTGCAGTTCGCGATCACCATCTCCGCAGCCCCGGCGTCGTAGGCTGCACAGCCAGCCTCGATGGCCCTTGGGCTCGAGAGGTTGTATCGAGTGTCGTGCAGCTGCACGCCCGAGTACGATTCCCATCCTGGGTACGGCACCGCCTCGAGGTAGCCGCACAGCGCCGCTGCGCCGTGGGCTCCACCGGGGATCAGCGGCGGCGGCGGCGGCAGCGGTGGCGACGGCGAGGCCGGCGGCGGGGCGAAGGGAGGCGGCGAGGACGGAAACGAGGAGATGCCGAGAGGAGCGAGCAACATGGTGAGCATGCCGGTCCGCTGCTGTGGAACAGCCAGCAGCAAATTGCTCAACAGAATGGTGCTCACAGTGTCGAGGTGCTCAACAGCGTCGCGCTGCGCCGCCGCTTCAATCACGAGTCACGCTTTTGTTTACCTTCAACCCGAGGGTGAACTGCTGACAGGGTTTGCGATGAGAAGCGATCCGAACGTGGCATTCGGGTGATTAGATCACTTCCGCCGTAACGCAAGAGCACTGCGTTTTCTGTTTAGGAAGGCAGACGGCGCGCTTCGTTTGTTTGTTGGAGAGAGAGATTCTCTCTTTTGTTGGCCGCACAACACGTGCTACGTCAAGGCGCATCGCGGTTTCTACCACGACGCGATCTTTGTCAAGCGCAACAACTTCAACCTGCTGCTCCACGAGACGTTCGGCGGCGGCTTCTCGCCCACCGCCGTTCTCAAGCTGCGCCGCCTCGCGCGCAAAGTCGCGCGCGGCAGCGTTGACCGCACGGCCTACTCGCCCAAGTACTCGCTCTCTTTTATGTCCCACCATCCAGAGCGCATCTCTCTCTCTGTTGTGCGAGGCGTGAACCGCGCCATTCGCTCTCACCTGGCAACCCTGTCTGCACGTCTCGCGCGCGCGTGAACAGGGCCCTAGCCAGGGTTTCGAGCGGAGGGTGCCCCGGATTCGTCTATCCGTTGGGCCCCGGTACTTCATTAGAACTGATCATGATTCGCAGCTACCGTCCCTTTACGGTGGGCCTTTTGGCAGCGGTCAAACAACAAGCGCGCGTGAACAGGGCTCGAGGGACAGGGACTCGACCGGGTCGGTGCGGCGCAGCTTCGGCAGGTCGAGCTCGTGGCCGTCGATATTCAGCTTGCCCCGCCTTTGCCTACCAATCCAGCGATTGAGCAATCAGAGACAAGCAGCAAGACAGGTCTTATTGTGGGACTTGTCGTTGGTATTTTGTCGAGGGCAAGGCTGGGCGTCCTATGTTTGTGCTCCCCCCCGGACCCCTCACTCTCGGGCACTAAGTATCCATCTGACCACTCATCGACGGGGCTTGGCGAGCGGCCGCGCTGCGGGGCAGGGCTGGTGAGAATGGGCTCTGGCCACTCGCCCGTGCGGTTGTAACCGCGCATCAGCCGAACGGAGGCCTCGACCGCCCCTCGCGGCAAGCTCTCGAGCATCTCGAGCAGCTCCCCCGCCGCCATCGCCGCCTCGAACTGCTCCCTCATGCCGAGCGCGCCGCAGACCTTGCGTACAGCCTCTTGCTGCAAAACGGAAAATTTCTTTTCTCGCAGTGACGCTTATCTTTGTTTACTGCTGCTCCGGCGCCACTTCGCCGACCGCGCTGTCTTGCCGGCGCGCACCACGCCCAGCCGCAGCCCGTACTAGCCCTCCGCGACACGCACAGCGCTGCGGCGCCGACTCGCGCTCGGCTCCCGCCTTTGCCGCGCTCGCAGCAGCCGCCTCAGCGGCGCGAGCGCCGCCGACACGCAGAAAGCCCAGACACACGGCTTTTGCCAGCTCCGCCGCGCGCCATTCTCGTCGGACCCCACAGCGCAAAGTCCGCGCTGACGCGCCACACGCGGCGTCACGCGCGCGGGAATGTCGGCGCGCGCCGCGGCGCGCGAGCCGATTCTGCGCAGACACAGCGCCTCTGCCCCTTGCAGGCGGAAATGCCCAAGGTCGGAAGCATCCCGCGCTCCGCCACGGTGGCGTGGTCGTCCTCCAACGAGCACTCTGGCTTGCTGGCGGCGGGCACCGTCGCGGGCGCCATATCGGACACGTTTGACTCCACTTCGCACCTCGATGTGCGTGACGCCTGCAGCGCCGGTCTCAGCGCTGCGACTCCGCTCGACGCCCGCACGCACACCTCCTCCCCTCCCACATCCGGCAGGTCTTCTCGCTCGACCTGCAGGGCGGCGCCGAGCTGCCGCTGGTCGGCTCGCTCGCGTGCAACGACCGCTTCAGCCGGCTGACGTGGGGCACCAAGGGCGTGGCGGACGGCTCGCTGCCGTACGGGCTGCTGGCGGCCGGCACGGCCAACGGCAGCGTGCAGATCGTCGACCCCGGCCGGCTCATCAGCCGCCACGACGCCCCCGTGGTTGCGACGATCGACTCCCACTCGGGGCCCGTGCGCGGGCTCGAGTTCAACCCGGCCGTGCCGGAGCTGCTCGCCTCGGGCGCGGCCGAGTCGGAGGTCTTCATCACCGACCTGACGAATCCGTCGACGCCGCGCGTCGTCTCGCCGGGCGCAAAGTCGCCCGGCCCCGGCGCCGACATCTCTTGCGTCGCGTGGAACCGCAGGGTGACGCACATCCTCGCGTCGACGTCGCACAACGGCCTCTCCGTCGTGTGGGACCTCAAGCTCAAGAAGCCGGTCATCAACTTCACCAACTCGGCGAACCGCGGGCAGCGCAACTCAGTCATCGCATGGAACCCCGAGG